ACCGACTATCAACTGACTATCGACCGGCTGTCGACCGACTGTCGACTGACATGTCGGTCGCCGGGTCGGTCGCCATGTCGGCCGACACTACTTATAGTAACATTGATCCGCACTTTTTATTCTTGATAACTTAGTTTCTATATTTCTTCTAAACACTGTCAAAACTGGTTTCTTTAGAAATGGTTGGATATCAAGTTCGGTTTGATGATAACACCAGTGATAAAACTCTGATTAAATACATGACTGATGGCTGCCTTTTGCGGGAATTCCTTGATGATTGTGCACTTAGCAAATACAGTGTAATTATTCTGGATGAAGCTCACGAGAGAAGTTTAGATACAGTAAGTGCACTATTGCAATATATTAAGTTTAGATACAGTAAGTGCACTATTGCAATATATTAAGTTTAGATACAGTAAGTGCACTATTGCAATATATTAAGTTTAGATACAGTAAGTGCACTATTGCAATATATTAAGTTTAGATACAGTAAGTGCACTATTGCAATATATTAAGTTTAGATACAGTAAGTGCACTATTGCAATATATTAAGTTTAGATACAGTAAGTGCACTATTGCAATATATTAAGTTTAGATACAGTAAGTGCACTATTGCAATATATTAAGTTTAGATACAGTAAGTGCACTATTGCAATATCTTATTGCAATATATTAAGGTCCTGCATGTAGTAGATTTGATTTTTTATTTTGGGGGATTATTGACTTGTGCTAATCATTTTAATGCATTTCTTCACAGAGTGGTTGATGAGTAACAGTAATTTGTTTAATAAATATGAATACTCTGTCTAAGGGAAATAGGATAAAGAAAAAAAATGCAATAATAAGCATTTACATGTACTATCTCAAAGCTAAGATTTTAAGACATGTTTGAAGGACAGTAAAGAAAATTGATGAGGAGATCTTGAGAGTGAAGGCTCACTGTGAGAAACCTGGAATGTGCTTTTTTTATTTGTTTACTGGGTCTATAATTATATCAGTAATTAGATATTCCCTTTCGATTCAACTAAGGCATTACAACTATTTTGAACTACACCATTGTGATTATTGCCCTAAGGTGCTTTTTACTTGTCTCTGTTTTGCAGGATATCTTATTTGGATTAGTTGGGAAATTATTTCATGATCAGAGAAAAAATTTAGGTACAGAAGATAAACCTACAAGGCTCCCAAAAGTTATTATCATGTCAGCTACATTAAATCATGAGAAGTTTTCTGAATTTCTTGATGGATGTCCAGTCTTTGAAATTCCTGGTCGCTGCTATCCTGTGAAAAATGTATTTTTGGACTATGTTGGTGTCAAGGACTTACGGACACCAAGTTATCTGAAAAGGGTGAGTCTGTTTAATCTATTAATAGCATGTGCGAATTGGTCAGAGCACTTACCTCCAATTAGTTTGTCTCAGTTATGATGCCTGAATCTGGTGTAACATTAATTTTGTACATGTAGGTTGAGTTAGCTTTTGATGTTCATACTTGCTTTGAGGACTTTTTCCCACACTCTCCTCTCCTCCTCCCCCTTCAAAAAGCAACACCTTGAATTCTAATTTTACCTGGAGGCAATGAAAGAGGAGCCCCTCAATTGATGCGCCACCGATAAATTCAGTTTAATGTTTTGTAGGCTATAGAGACTGTGATGAAGATTCATCTTGAGGAGCGTCCAGGAGACATACTGGTTTTCCTAACAGGACAGGATGAGATTGAACATGCATGTGACAAACTGTTTGAGAGTGCTGAGAAAATTGACTATAGCCATGATGTCCATTACAGTGAAGTGGAAGCCATGTTGATTCTTCCCCTTTATGGCTCCATGACAACTGGTTTGTGCAGTTTTCATCCACTCATTTTTTAGATTCCTTTGGAAAATGTGTTTGTACTGTTGGTTGATATTACAATAAAACATATTTCTGTTTTGCAGAACTACAGAAGAGGGTATTTGATCCACCCAGTTCTTCTGTGAGGAAGGTCGTGGTAGCAACAAATATTGCTGCCACATCACTTACTATAGAAGGAATAAGGTAAACATACAAAGTTAACAAATGTAAAATTAGGATGGAGTAGTTAATTTAGATGATAGGAAAGTAGGACAAATTTTCACAGCAGGATATATGTTGCTATACAAGCATACCATGTTGAACATTGTGTAATTTTTCTAGAATCAGATTTAGTCCAGATTCTCTTGGTAGCATGTGGCATTTTCTCTGAAGTTGTCTTGTGGTTCAAATGTTGGACTTACCAGACATGCAATATTCATACTCGTACATTGTGATGTCACAAATCTTTAGTTAGCAGATGATCAAGGGGTGTGGGTGTGGGTCACTGTGTTATGTTTATGGGCCAAACAGTTTTCTTTTACGACACCTCCCTCCACCCAGGGGAGTATATATAGGACTGGTACACATAACAGGAAGGAAAGCTTGATGAAATGTTGGGGGTGACCTTGCATTTGGGATGGGCCAGCATCCCATTCAGTGAGGTGTAAAAATACTCTTAGGTGTAGTTGCTTCATGCTTATAAATTATTTATTTATTTATTTAGGTTCACCAACTGGCAGGGACACCGCAACAGCTTGCGCCAATTACTGTGGGCCCAATAAACCAACCCATCCCACCCCAGGGGAGGACATCCATCACACAGTAATCTCATGTGTGGGAAATTAATGTCTCCTACCCCTCCTGCAGGAGATGGGACCTCCATTTATTCATCCCTATCCGAGAAGACCAGAATATCTAACCATTTCTTGATGTTATAGAAAGGCAGAAAATTCTTCTCAATTATTGTAAGACCCTGAGTGTTGGTCCGGCCAGGGCTCGAACCCTCGACCTCCTGCACAACAGTCCAGCACTCTATCCTTTGAGCTAACCGGAAGGCAGTTAGCTCAATGGATGCTCTTGAAACTGGGATAATTTTTGGCTGGGTGGGTCACTTGGGGCTCCAATAAAAACTTTATGGACTTGCTATAGATGTTACAGGTTGAGATTGAATTCAGGTTCAGTGGTTTTCAAATGAGTTTGAAATGCCATTTTCTTTGTTATCTTGTATAGATATGTTGTGGACAGTGGCTTTGTGAAGCAGTTGTCATATAATCCACGCACAAGACTTGACTCACTTAATGTTGTTTTGACATCAAGGTATTATTAGTACTGTACATTTATTTTTTAAATCTTTTTAAAAATTTTTTTTCTCAGGAAATAGCATTTATTTTTATCTTTAGATCTCATGTTGTTTTCTTTTCTAGATCTGAAGCCATTCAAAGAACAGGGAGGGCAGGTAGAACCGCACCAGGAAAATGCTTTCGACTTTATTCAAAGTAAGTAGATACAATAATACATTATATAAAATAAGTAGCAATGTTTGGTTGTTCGCTTTTCAAGTCTAAAATTTATTTTTTGTTTCAATCAGGGAGGTTTATGAGACAGCTATGACCGAAGAAACAATTCCTGAAATTCAGAGAACAAGTCTGAGTCATGTGGTTCTCTATCTCAAGTCCATGGGAATACATGATGTTTTAGGGTAATTGCATCTTTCAGATCAAAAAGGAAATATTAAATGGTCTCATTTATTAGAAGATCAAAACTGTACAATACCAGAAGTTATACCCGGGATCCCTGGGATTTCCTGATTGTAACACCCTGCAATGTAGCAAGTTTACTCTGACATTCAGTAATCAGCAGCTAATGACAACTTCCCTTTCTGCAAACTCTCTGAGGAATGGGTGCAGAGGACAAGTGACAATTGCAGAGTGAGAAAGACTACTTAGGAGAAAGAAAGAAACATTTTCTCCCTGGCTTGTGCATCTAGCGAGGTTTCCCTAAAGAAACAGCCCAAAGGATGATTCAGTTAAACAACACCTTAATTATGACCTTTTCAAAAATGCTTGTATTTACTTTTCTAACCTTTTGGAGTTTATGTTATGGCTTGGATAATTTGATTAATCAGCAATCACTGTGATGATTGACCTTAACCACAGCATTTTAATGCCATTTTTTGTCTGTTTTCATAGCTTTCAGTACATTGATCCACCAGAAGAGAGAATGATTCTAGAAGCATTAAAACAACTCTATTACTTTGGAGCATTGGACAGGTAAATCTAATCTTCAGTCCTGAGCAGATTTCCAAGTCTGGTCATTTTTCATTCTTTTTTTAGAAGCGTGGTTCTGAGAATTTTTAAGTTAAGTACTGCATTGAGAATTGTTTACCTAGCATTGCAATATTCATAGTTAATCACATTCCTTTAGAAACTCTTTAATTATCAAACTGCCCAGGGCTTTTTATTCACAAAACAAGTCATACAAACTGTTCCAATGAGGCCTTAAACTGCTATCTAAAATTAAAACTTAAAATTAAAACTTAAAATCCAAGCTTTCACTGATCAACGGCCTCATCAAGGGTTATTCAGTTTGATTAAAATTGGGTTTGGTAAACTGTTAAAAGAACTTCAATCTACCAACAATATAATGGGGCTATATGTGTCAAGGGAATTAAAAGAGGGGGAAGGAGTTGGGAAGGAAAGAGGAGAAGGATATAGAAGTCAGGGGAGGGGGTTGGGGTGACCCATGAAGGACTGCTAGCCTATCGAGAGGGAGGTGGACGTACATGTGTACTCATTCCTTCTATGAGTGGACTCATGTGGTTAGTCTTTTCTGAAAACAAGGCATTTTTATAGACTCTAGTGAAAGACATGTTAATAAAACGCTCAAAACTTAAATTTCAATTTTGTTTTCAGGGGTGGAAATGTTACCACCCTAGGTCAACAGATGACAGAATTTCCACTTTCTCCAGGCCTCTCCAGGACAGTGATATCCTCAGCTAGCCTTGGTTGTGCAGAACTAGTACTTGCAGTGGCTGCCATGCTGTCAGTTGAAAATGTCTTTGTAACTCCGGGAGGGAAAAAGAATTTATCGACTGCCACAAATGTTCATAAAAAACTGGCGGAGGAAGCCGGTGGAACAAACGACTTTGCAACACTCCTGTTTGTCTACAGGCAGTGTCATTCCAGGTTGGTATTCCTGTGCTAAGTTTGTTTTTCTCTGTACTATTATTAGTCAATAATGTCAGATCTTTGTAACCTGTGCGGTTTTGCTTTATCCTGTTCGCTGTAGTCCATCACCTCCGCGATGGTGTCGTGATCATTACATTCACTGGAGAGCACTTAAAATGGCATACAACATACATCATCAACTGGAAACCATCTTGCACAGACAGGTGAACAACCACTATCAATTTATCGTAGCCTGCATTCTGAGTGTTTCCTATAGTGAAACTGGTATATGATACAAATTATCAAACAGTTGGTAAGTTTGATTCGAATTCTCTCCCAGCTCGTATACTAGCCAGCTTAAAGCTGAAATACGAGCTCCTACTTTTTTTTGTCTTCCCAGCTTAGCAAAGATCCTCATCCAAAGAGAAATACAGACAAAACAAAAATGAACTCCAAAGATGTGCTAAGGAGAGTGTTATGCTGTGGATATTTCTGCAATGTAGCGCGGAAGTAAGCCATCCTTTTTTTAAGAGTTTGCTTTACAACTGAGTTGTTAAATTGTCAAAGCGAAAGGCTAACGCTCGAAATGTCAGTTATTTAACTCTTTACGGTGGCCAGTTTACAATTTCAACTCAGTTGAAATAATGAAATCACCTTGTTACCCCCATCGACACAGCACCACAGTTTCCTTAGAAACTCATCCCGTGTATTTACCTTACTATGCTTTGTTATTGGTCAGGAAAAGTCCCATCACTCTCTTTGCCAATCAGAAACGACGCTGAAACAATCGCTACTAGACCGCGCACGCAGAACTGGAATAAGAGCTAATGCGTGTTTTTACCGCAGTTGAAGTGTTTGAATTTTCATTAGTTCCTTGAAGCGCTCTACATTTTTTTATATTATTCGTACTTTCATGGCATCTTTTTTGTCTTGTTCTTTTTAGAAGCAGTTCAGGTAATAGTTTCCGCACAATGGATGGGCATGGTACTCAAGTATATATTCACCCATCTTCAACGGTAGAGTTGGCATTTTCACGATACTCCAACTAACAATAGTTGTGTTGCAGAGATGAAGGAGTTCGATTTGCAAATATAACTGAATTTGATTATTTCATCTTGACATGTCAGCATGCTAGGAAGGAACGCAGAGAATGGTTTTAACAGTCATTCTTTAGGACTATTGTTTCTCTCTTTTCTTTTTAGTTATTCGGTTGTGAAGATCAGCTCGAGTGGATAATTTTTCATGACATTATCTGGACCTCAAAAATCTATGTCAGAACAGTTTGCCCGGTGAGTGTGTTTTTTTTCTTGTTCATTTCTTTATAGTTTGAAGAGTTTACTTTTAACCAGTCCGTACTGAGCTGTGAGCCTTCCAAGATTCCTGATGACCAGTCACTTACAAAATTATGTTCCTCTTCAGATAAGATACGAGTGGGTGGGAGACCTCTTGCCTAGGTTACATGAGGTAGACAGTTACTCCTTGTCTGGCTGGGCAGAGGGGAAATTAACGGACAGCAAGCATGATGGGAACTTACAAGATCACCACGAGACCGAAACAGGTGTGTTTCTTTGTTTTAGAACTTTGACACGGTTAGCTGTACTTCAGTTTGTTCATTTTATAATCTCTGCTTACCTTTTTTTATTCAGGCACTGTTGCAGACGTCGTTAAAATATCGAAACGGAACACAGAAGACTCTCTTACGGCTGCTAGGCAACGCTTTCTTGAAAGAAAGAGAGCCCGCGAAAAAAACCAAGGCAGATGACCGGAGGAACAACGGCTGCCATCGTCGGATGTGCCCTTATTAGGGAAGCACTGCTAATCACGTTGACAACACATGTCCTGACACACTCGCTATAGCTTACGGCTTCTTGTTGTCACTCGAGCCTCGCATGTGGGCGCAAAGCGGAACGAGACCCACGTGAGCAGGACGGATGTTATCATTTTATTGTGCTTTGACATTTCTGGAGAAAATTCTGTGATGATTTAACTAAAAAGGAGATATCAAATTAATTTACGGAGGTGAACTTGTTTTCATAAAAACATTTCAACATGCCTTCTTTCTATTAAATCATTACACATTCATATGACATACTGCCTCTTACCAAGACACGGCCCAAACCGACCGGTGGAGAGCGGAATACAAGAATAGTTCTGAAAGAATTTGTTTTCGTCCTCTCCCCAGATTTCTCTTGGGCAGTAGTTCTTTGCAGCTTGACGGCAGTAAATTTAAGCCTAATCGTAGAGCTACTGTTCATTTTCGTATCGAAAATCATTTCGTATCATTTTCGTATCGAATGTGAGATTTTCCGCCATTTTTCTTTGGATTAAATTCTTACGGTCATATATGCAGAAGGCAATCAGGAAATCAACACGCTCACTTGATATCATGCAGCCTATTCAAGAAATATTTCGCAAGGAAGCTTTTTCAGTTGTCCCGTCCTTATATTTATGTCGTGATGATGTACATGACTGATAAAAACCCTGGTGCACATTAAAGTGACATGATTAGGATGGAATCCAGTAATTTCCTCGCCGATATCCTCCCCGCTTTTTAGGGGACGTGTTTGTTGGGCTTTTCGTCACTCTTGTCGTGTCTAACGCGGAATCTTTTTCGCAAGCAATGCTTGAATCCTTGCTTTCTGCTTTAAAAGTTTTCACGTTATTCTGCCGCTCTTGATGCGCACTCTCACATACCATACCCGCTTGTGTCTCAGTTGATGTGTCAACGTCCTGATCTTTTTCGCAGGCTTCTATTAAATCCTCGCTTTCTCCTTTTACTGTTTTCACTTTACTTGGTCGCTCTAACTGCTCACTTTTACTATTTTCACTTTCTTCTGTCTCATGATCAGTTACTGTGTCAACGTCCTGGTTCTTTTCGCAGGCTTTTCTTAAATCGCCGCTTTCCCCTTTCATTGTTTTTACTTTACTTTTTCGTTCTTGGTGCTTATTCTCGCTGACTGTATCTGCCTCTTCTGTCTCAGTTATCATGTCAAAGTTCTGATCTTTTTTGCAGGCTTCTTTCAAATGTTCTCTTTCTCGTTTTTCTATTGTAACGTTACCTTCTCGTTCCAAATGCCAACTCTCGCTGATTATACCCGCCTCTGTCTCAGTTATCATGTCAAAGTTCTGATCTTTTTTGCAGGCTTCTTTCAAATGTTCTCTATCTCGTTTTTCTATTGTGACGTTACCTTCTCGTTCCAAATGCCAACTCTCGCTGATTATACCCGCCTCTGTCTCAGTTATCATGTCAAAGTTCTGATCTTTTTTGCAGGCTTCTTTCAAATGTTCTCTATCTCGTTTTTCTATTGTGACGTTACCTTCTCGTTCCAAATGCCAACTCTCGCTGATTATACCCGCCTCTGTCTCAGTTATCATGTCAAAGTTCTGATCTTTTTTGCAGGCTTCTTTCAAATGTTCTCTGTCTCGTTTTTCTTTTGTCACGTTACCTTCTCGTTCCAAATGCCAACTCTCGCTGATTATACCCGCCTCTGTCTCAGTTATCGTGTCAAAGTTCCAATCTCTATCGCAGGCTTCTCTCAGTTCGTCGCTTTCGGCTCGTGTTATCTCTTGTACTTCAGAGATAAGATCTAAGTTTTCGTTCTCAGTAAATGCTCCAGCTTTTGTCTCCTTTTTTACGTCGAATTTTTGATATTTTTTGCACACGTCATCTTTCCAACTGTCGTTTTCGGCTTGTGTGATCTCGTCTGCTGTACTTGTAAGGTCAACCTTCGCCATTTCAGCTAATATTTCAGTTTTAGTCTCATTCCCTTTTACCACACCTTCGGCCTGAGATACCATTTCTGTTCCGCCGCGGGTTTGGTTCAACTCCGTTTTAAAGTCCTCTTTCTTATCGCTCTACATGATTAAATAATTGGATAACAAAGTACTGTTGTGGTGCTTTAAAAAATTTAATGTGATCAGCGATAAGCTAATAAAAACACTTTCTTGTTATGCCAAATATCTGTATGTTTTTTAGCGAAAACGTCCAAACAGCTAACAAAACATTAGAAAAGGTTTGGAAGCAGACAATTGTTAGAAAGAATCTCAACTTTTACCTGCTTTGAGCTGCTGTCACTTTTCTCTTTCTTGCTAACTTTATTGGCAAAGGTTTTGTAAAAGAAGAAGCCTGTAAGGGAAGCTATCCCTACGCCAAGGCAGGCCACAATAATGAAACTTGATTTGATTCTTCCCATTCCTTTTTGCGACAAAATTCGCGTAATGCAATCTTATATTCTAAACCGAATCGTACCAGTGTGAATGCGTCAACAGAGAAATAGCCCACTGTAATACCAAGCAAGATAAATTTGCCTTGTTGTGATATCATAAACATAATTAGAAGAAAGAGGATGAGCGCGAGCATTTGGAACACAGTAAAGAAACTTAATTAACACCCAAGTCATTACAACTCTCCTTACCCAATTCTTCCGACACTGTTGTTACTTTGCATGGTATTATAAAGGCAACCTTCAATGATTGTCTCAAGAGAAAAGCTTCCAACTGTTCGATCTCTATAGACTAGCTCTTTGACAAGGAGGCTCAAGCGAACAAAACGTTATACGAGTTAACGCACCACACACTCAGAAAAACTTTGATTCATGCTGAATAGGCCGGGATATTCTCCTAGGTAAAGGGCGAATTCGATCGTCTTTTCTTATTCGAGAAGCTATTTTATTAATGTGAGGCAAACAAAAACACAAGACAGAACAAAACGAAAAGCGATCAAAATTTCTATAACAGATATTTACTCTTACTTTGAGGATCTAACTCGTGTAGTTTTTTAGATATTTAAAGTTTCGAGTCATGCGGAAACAAATAAGTACTTTTGTCTCGAAAATAAATAAAGAGGTTTTAACTGTATATTGTTTTCTTCATTTAGTATATCATCACTTTATGTTTTTATAAATATGTTCAGTCAATGAGAGCCGTAAGACAGTCTTTTACATCATTTAGTGGTTTTTAAGCGTCAAATATATGACAAAATAACACAGTGACGATATTGAACAATTGTCTTTTCTGTGTTAAAAGGGGCAATTAAACAATACGGGCCAATATTTATATTTAGATCTCCAGATTAAAACAGAAATCATGTCCAAGTATGTTTCAAGAGCCTGTTACCTTCGTAACAGAAAAAAGCCTGAGTATTTCGAATACAACACGAAATAAGTCACCACTTATCACATGTCTTGGTTACATATTAGCGATGCAAGAAACTATCGGCACAATTTTTTTCCCTGTTTGTTTCCATAAGGACTCAAAAGCCATTAATTGAAGGCCAATATCTTTCTTAAGCTTTGCCGATCCACAACGTTTGGGAGTAAAACGGGCAGTTCATTAAATTATGAGGCCTCTCTCATCCGTTCGAGACCTTTAAATCATGCAGTTATTTTGATATATTATACTATTATTTACCGACTGTCAGTGGTTATTTACTTGAATGAGTGGGTATGAATTCCTTGGTGGTCAAAGCACAGGCACGGAATCGGAGCTGTGGACTATAATCCTCAAGGAAGATCAGACGATAAGCGCTGAGGACAACAAAGATAAAAAATTGTCGATACAAGCTTCGGATTTATGTCTGCGTAGACCAACGTGGAGAATGACAACTTTATGTCTCGAGGATAGTGTCTTTAATCTCTAACTGTATGGAACCTTGGAGGTGAGTCATGTAAGCCAGTTGTTTGCCACGCTATTATAGTGCAAAATCAGGTGCATTGATCTAACTTTTCTATGGAATTCTTATCATTCTTTGGGCTAGGGATTTGTCTTTCGTCTGTTTGCTTTGGGGCAAAGCTCTTGAGGCTCGCTCTTACAAGATGCACAGCCTCGATCGCTTGATTACATTTTCTGTTAATTTTTTATATCTACATGTCAACATGTCAGAATGGATTCGATTTCTTGAAGGTCACAAGCTTTCTTGCAAAGACAAAATAACTAGTGAATCAAACTTAAAGAAACCAAAGCTGACAAAAATAAAATCGCCAGATGAAATGAAAGGCAACAGGCAAAGCAAAGTGCATGAAACGTTAAGCACAGGTTACATTTGTTCGAGCGGTTCGTTTATGACTCATCAATTCTTGTAGGAACACTCAACATTGATCATCAAAGAAAATGGCATTTGTCCCTCAAGTGTGACTGGAAAGCTAGAAAGTTATCTGATTTTAATTGTAAACTCATTTCAGAGAATGCAATCATTTTCCAGATTGTTCCATTAATTCTTTTAATTTGAATTGATTTCCGATACTTGTCACCATTGTTGAGGTTTAAAAGCATCGAGGATTAAGTGATAAATCGCTTGACGAAGTCGCTAATTAACTTTTGTGCTGTAAGAACCATATTCACCGGCCATGGAAGAATACCTAGCTCTTTTAGGATTTGTGAATCTTGAACAGTCAAACTGAGTTTTCTTAACTTTCTTAATTTTCACACGCTTAAATTTTCTCTATCACTAGTCATCATTTTCCCTTCTTAATTATCGTTGCTTCTTTCGTAGTCACGGCTTCCTCCTACCGTTTAATTTTGCACGTCAAAAAATAAAATGAAATCAAAGAAAATGGAGAAAAATATGAGAAATAAAAGAACTCAAAATATGTTCACGTAGATTCTTCATTGCGCCTAGTTCTTTGTATACAGCTTTTCGGTGACGTGTGGTCTGTTCTACATATTAAATGCGGCGAAGAGAATTAGAGAGGTGGAAAGAAACCAAGGCACCCGCGTTTTTTCTAACTTCGGTGAAGATATCTTCTTTTCGCTTTACTTCTCACAACTCCTCTCCACTTCAGCACGACTGTTATTTTCATTATTATCCGGGACACTGGTTTTTAAATAAACGCGAAATTTTTATTGCTAATCATTGTTTGTGTTAATGTTTCTTTATCAAGCCTGGCAAAATGGATGGAATAGGATCAATTCGGCACGTGCGATCAGCCGGCCGCATGGGTCAGCGGACCTATTCAGCAACAACTGTTAGTTCAACAGACGACAACATCTCTGTAAGTTCGGGTTACAGTTCAAGACGCTCTCATGGATCGAAGACTGGTGCTGACTACTGGTCCATCCGGGCAGCCGCCGGGATTTCTCGGATGAAGAACGCTCGTGGACTTCGGAGAGGTTCCATATTTCCAAGTGATAACAATGGATCTTCAGAAACGTCGTCTGCGAAGGGACATCGTTTGAGCATTTACTCTTTGAGTGAACTTGCTGAAGTAGGGATCAAAATGCGCAGACGTCGACGCAGTACCATGGACTCATGGGGAAAGAACAGGACTCCGGGAGAAACGAAATACTTTGATAAGGTAAATATTTAGAATACAGCTGGGATGTGAGAGTGGCATACAAAGATTGTAAACAATGACGCAGTATAAAGGACACACCCAAACAACTGAAAAGAGCCTTGTTATTAGGCATGCAGATCCAAAGGAACCGCTTCTCACGAAAGAGGCCAGTTGTCTCTTAGCGCGGTTTCTTTGTGGGTAGAAAGAACAGAGACAGTGGGGCCTGTCAGTGATAGATGTAAACCGTGAACCGGGGAGGAAAGAAGCTCTTGACATTTAGTACAGAGAAAAGACATTTCGTCAACTGCTTCGCAACTCTGATAATTTTCACCATCTTGTTTGTTAAATAGCTTTTGCCTCCATTGGAGTTATTTCGTCGAGCAGTGAAACTTGTCCAGATGTCCGCATCACTTTGCCAATACAAGTATGAAAAGTAAGTTTTCGGAAGGAGCGTTTTTTGTTTTGTTTGTTTGTTTGGTTTTTGCTTTCTTTCTTATTTAACGATGACCTTAACAAATGCTTTTGATGTTAACCTTGTTACTTTAAAAGAAAAAAAAATATAAATAAAATGTCGCGAGATTCAGCAAGTCGGAGAGGTACGTTTAAGAATTTTAGATTCAGACGGAAGAAAGAGTTGTAAGGAGAAGTTTAAGAAATAAGTTCCAGCTCATTTATCTTTAGATGGCTGACCTGGGGCCTCCTTTCCCAAGACATTCTTTCGTTATGTCTGTTTCAATTTCAGGGACACTGAGGAAGAAACCCAGATGACCCACACTGTTTTCACACAGTACATTACTGAACAAGAAAATCAAATGGAAGCGGAACTTGCTTTTGATGCTTCATTTTTCAAAGCCAATAGAAAGGTAAACAGACCTTGTGCGAGTTTCATGTTCCCCGGCGCCTCTTCAAAATTCGTTCTTTGTCTGTTTCCCATTCTCTGATCTTATTCGTCTGTGAAGTGTCAAAAACATGGATTATTACGGGGAGAAAGAAGAGAAGTAATAGGTTGCTTCGATTGATTTTTTCCAGATGCGAGTTGCCGCTGAGGTGAAGTTAATTTTATCAATTCACCCAGAACAGAGGACGGAACAACAACTAGCAAAGGTATTTCGTTTTCAGTTTGCGTCAAGCAGTATTGTGAAGGTGTCTTCTCAAAATAAGTAACTTTAACTACAGTAGTCTTTTCGAATACTGCTGACACAAGCCAAATTCAAAATCATCTTGATTTTAAAAGACGTCTTAAAAAAAACCGACGGCGTTCTTGAAGTCCCACTTGAACCCTTTTCGGCAATGGGTTATTTAGGAAACAGCTCAACTTGATAAAACAGCTTTTAATTTTGTCTCTTAGGTGCTCTTCTCCTTGCGATCAATTCGATCGTTTGCAGAATATCCTCAGAGAATTCAGCAGAAGCTCGTTAAAGTTGGTTGGTTTGAAACGTAAGTGTCTGTTAATATTTTCGATACATTTGATTTGGGATATGTAGAGCTGTTAGCTTTATTTTACGCATCTGAAATGTTAAGAGAAATTTTATGTAGCAAACATATTTTGTTTTTTAGTCAACGATTTTGATTGCATTTGATTCATTTTCAGGCACAAGACAAAGAGAGCCATTTTAAGACAGGGTCACATCCCACAAGCTTTCTACTTTGTTCTCTCTGGCTCAGGTCAGGTTACATGTGAGGCTTAACATTTAAGGAGACTCTTCACCATTATTACATGAAATGCAAACTATTAATCATGGGTGTCAAGGAAACGCGGACACGGGGTCAGGAAAAGAGAGGGACCGAAATTAGCGGGGAGAGAGACCGCAACCCCGGCCCCGAGTCTGCGTTTTACGGAAGTTACCCCAAGTTGACTACAACATCTAAACGACATATTAGTTAAAGGTAAACGATCTTCTTAACATGTCTTGAATCATGAATGATAACAAATGAAAAAACTCTACTTTTTGTCATTTTACAGCTGTAGTTACAGTACTGGGAGAAAATGAGAGCTTTGCAAGAACTGTTCATTTCCTAAGACGTGGTGATAGTTTCGGGGTAAGTACTCAGCTTTCGCTAACAAATAACCCCTGGGGTAAAGGATCCGCAGGGCTTTCGTCCATGTCTCCTCGTAGAACGTGAACCAAGATAGAAATCAACAACTTGTTTGGAACTTTATATGTTTTCCGTCTTTGTGAAGGTTAATCTGTTGGCTAATATTTCGCTGTAATTTTTCCCCAACCATAGGAGTTGGCTATTCTACACGACACTAGACGCCAGTCCACCGTAATTTCGCGGGAAGCTATTGAACTGTTGGTGATTTCTAAAGAGGTACGTATTTGGAAACATACAATATGTGAGCTACAATTTGAAACATTTTAAGCAGAACAGAACCAATTTATGGAATGAGAATCCCGATTTATGAGGACTTTTGACGTTCTGACCGTAAAACATGCGCAAAATGGAAATGTGGATAAATTAGAGCTTTTGGCATGTGTTTCCCTATTTCAAGGAACCACATGGGTGCCATAAAGGGGATAAAGATAGCAAAAAACGAACGCGGTTCCAGTCTTTCTTTTTGGTTTCTTATGCAGGATTTCGTGGACATCTTCATGTTAGCGGGTGGAATTAAGAACATAAACGACCCTGATCATCAGAAGTTTATCAAGTAGGGATGTAGAGTAGCATCAAGGCTTCTAAACACAGTCATTTCTATGCTTTGTTTTAGTCGAGTAGAGTTGGGGGTGTGGAAAGCGTGGAACGTGAATTACGCGCGAGAAGAGGTGCGTGATTCTCCTTCGTGCTTCCCTCACGCGTCTCTCATGCTTTCCCCGCGTTCGCCTCGCGCTTTCCTCGCGCTTGCCTTATACTTTCCTCGCTTTCGCTACGCGCTTACCTCGCGTTCGCCTGAAAATCGCAAAAGAAATGATACCTGTTCCAAAGGTTTTGCAGTATCAAAATATCTAGTCCTGGTTACCTTAAGGTGGCTCGTACCAGTTTCCTCGCGCGGGGAACAGATCACTCTTGCGTCACGCGCGAGAGAAACGTGCGAAAGAAGCGCGAGATTAAAAGACGAAAATTTAAAACAAAGATGGCGGCGCGAGGATTTTATTTCGACTTACGTGAGAAGTTTACCTAAGAGCTTGTATTTGATGTGTTGAGCGGCCACTGTGAATGCAGGAGATAGAAACTAAGATAACGAAGACGATTTTCGGAGAAGTAAAGGTTGCTTCACTTCACATTTAAAAGAAATATTCAACCGATATGAAATCTTGCGACGGCGAAAAAAGAAGAACTCAAGTGAAGGATAATCTACCTGAAGTGGAAGAAGACTTTGAAACTTCAAGGAAAATAATATGATATAGCCAGAAGTCATGTGTAGGATTTTTAAGATGAGCTCGGGAGGCTGTCTTTGACGGCTGTTTAATGATTTTCTTAGCAGTAAACGTCTGTAAACATCAGATCGTAGGTGCTCGCGCGAGCACACGCAATTGTCAGCGGTAGCTAAAACAGATCATGAGCAAATGTCGATCTTATAGAATCCAGATTTTTAAATGCGCGAGAACGCGCGTGGAAATTGCTAAACTCACGAAAGCTATTGCATGAAAACAAGTCCGGTGACCCCTTCTTTTTATTGTTCCAATATGATAATAACGTCGAAAGGAATCATCAGAAAAAAAAACTAG